GCAAGGACTTTCACCCTCCCCTTCCCCTCAGTTTCAATACGGTTCTGGGAACAGTCCGCTATTTATTTTGACAGTCAGTGTGTGGAAACAGCTGAAGCTGTCAATCCCTCAGCAGCGGACAAAAGTGCCCAAGAGATTTTTTTGAAAGGATATGGACCTATAGAAACAGAATAAGAACGCTTTTGATGTCAAAACTCTGAATTATAAGTGTGAGGGCTCCTGTTCAAAGATGTTATTGGTGAGAAGGACGAAGCGGAGACTGAGGTTACTCAAGAGACCACATGGATTGCAATTGTTGATGTACAGGCAATTTGAAAGACAAAGGAGGCCAATGAGGGAGCAGAAAGGTGGCTTCCTCTTCATGGCAGCAGGGAAGATCTCCAGAGAGTGAATGTGGCTGGAGAGTCCATCAAGAAGTGAAAGACCTTATTGTACCACAAAAGGAAGCCACTCAGAAGACTGCATCTCCCTGAAGAAGAGCCAGTCACATCTGGTGGTCTTCTGGACTGCACCAGGATAGCTGTGAAACAGTTTCCTGCACCTGGTTGGACAGCTCTACAAAGGTGCAGTCACAGGAGCTGACCAAAGAAAACAGAAGGAAAGTCAAAAAGTGAGCTCGCTTCCTCATCCTCTTCAGCTTCTCAACAGGCTTTTAACTTGCAGCCTCATAAGATCCTACTTCCTAGGAGAAACACCCATGACTTCTTCCAATGAAGTAGGGACACATAAATAATCATTGACTTCAAGAACCAAGTGATAGTGATCAACCCTTTCAGCTGTCAGATAGCCTAAGAGGAGACCTGGCTGGAAGCCATCTAAGCCAGCTCCACATAACCTTGCTGATAGGAGATAAAACCCAAGAGGAGACAACATATGGCAGAATACCCCACGTCTTCATACAGGAGTTGAACAAATCCTCTGGAGTTGACCATTTGTTGGGGAATCTTGGGGGTGGCAGATACGTCAACCCAAAGAGTCCTACATGGACAGAGGGCTGGACAGAGTAAGAGGAAAAAACCTTCAGCCACCCCCCTCAGAAAGAGGTACCTTTGCACCAGCTCCGTATTGGAAGAGCTGACATTTTTGCCTGTCCTGTATGGACATCTTCTGAGAAGCAAAAGAGAAGATGCACTTTGCATAGCACCTCCACAAGGTGGGGTTCTGCTACTGGGCACACTCGGTTTCTCAGGGCCAAATAAACAAAGCGATCAGATGTGCGTGGAACAAAGTCAGCACCAGTTTCCAGTCCCAGCCACCACTGATGCCAATCAACGTGCCCAACAACATCAGGAATGAAGTAGTGCTGCTGGGAAACAACAGTAGATGGCTGATCCCAGAAGTTGAGGAGAGACCAGGACTCAACAGTGCTGCCCCATGCAACATTAGTGCCAATGGAGAGCACCATCCTTAACTGGTGTCAGAGACAAGGGGACAGCAACCTGACCCTTTGCCTTTACTGAGCAAATTAG